AGTGCGCACTGGACCACCCTCCCGGCTCTATTGCCCGACAAAGGCCTCTGTTAATTTCGACAGAGCCCTACAAGAAACCCTACCTTAACCCCAAATTCTAAGAACCTACCTTTTTCAAACACTTATACAAAGAAAACATAATAAGGAGCCCTAAACAGGTAGGTTCGTCAGGGTCCAAGTAAACCCTAAATCCTAAATCCTAGGCTGTAGAGGCCTACATAATTGCAACTTTTTTTTTTGGGGGGGGGGTCCATATTATAACTATAGTATAATGGGCCCCAAAACCCTATTCTACTTATGAAGGCCCCTATACCCTAACCCCTTATAGTAGCCCTTATAGAAGCCGTATTATAATTATGGGCCCCCAAACCCTAGTCTAATCAGTAAGGCCCTTATATTATGACAGATCTGAGGACACGGCAGGGGTCTGCCAGTCGATCTCAGATTTTAACGTTTCGGTCGGGCATCTGGCCCTGCGGGGGCCGAACAAGCAACAGACGAGGATGGTGACAATCGGAGAGGACTTGGGGACGGTTTAGGGATTATGCTTTTTAGGGTTTAGGGTTTAGGGTTGAGGGATTATGCTTTATGGTTGCTAGAGATGGTGACAATCGGAGGGGTTTAGGGGACGGTTTGTGACTGATTATGCTTTATGGTTGCTAGAGATGGTGACAATTGGAGAGGTTTAGGGGACGGTTTGTGACCGATTCCGGTTTATGGTCGCTAGAGATGGTGACAATGGGAGAGGTTTAGGGGACGGTTTGTGGGGCTGGTTCGGGTTTATGGTTGCCAGAACTTAGTCTGTGAGGTTCAGGGCGTGGGACATATATGTTTTTTCTATCTCCCGTCCCCTGGTATTGGGTCTAGGGTTTAGGGTTTAAGTTCCTAAGAGACCCCTAAATAATTGATTATAAAGGTACCCTTTTTCCTGTAACTCATTGGCCAGCGACGTGTGGGCCGGCCAAGAAATTCTTGCCAGTTTATGAGGTCTTAGGGTACTTATAATTAGAAACATTTTTTTAATTTTTGGCTACAAACCCTAAGAAGCAGCTAACATTATAATTTGTGCTAGGGGTCTAAGTTCAGTATAGATGAGGTCTTAGGGTTGGCCTTCGAAGGACGCGTCCAATAATTGGCTGCCAGGACCTTCGGCATTCTTGTTGGCCAATTTCTTGGCGTTTTTCTGGTTGGCTCTTAGGACTCTACCTTTTGGGGTTTCTATATGAACTGTAAAAAGTAGGCTAAAAGTTTAACTTTCAGGAGAGGTTCAGAAGTTAACCAAGTTTCGATGTGTAGCATAATTGACTTGGAGGACCTGGGGGGTCCTTGTCAGCCATTGTCGACATTGCCCTAACCCTCCAGGTACCTACTATACAGGGAACTAGAGCCTTTAGGGCCCTATATGGTAGGTACCTGGAGGGTTAAGGCTGGAATTTGTCATTGGCTTGAAGGACGCAGGAGGCCAATTTCGTTCGAAGACTCTTCAGGAACTTGTGACAGAGTGTCTGTCCGAGCTGACGCGGAAGCCCATCCAATCGCCACACGTACGGAGCCGAACCCAGAGAAACCTAACGCAGACATTGAAACCGAATCCATGCCCTGAACCCTAAACCCTAAACCGAATCCATGCCCTGAAGCTGAACTCCCGGCCAGTCGCATCTCCCGCACTGTCCAGTGTACCTCTCGGGCGGTCCTGGGAACGCAGTGCCGCGCGAGCCGCCATCTTTTGTCTGAAAGAAACGCGCGCGCACTCAGCAGAACTTCCGGAGGAGTTCTTGAGCAAAATTGGCTAGTAAGGGTGTCCCGGGCCCCGGGTCCTTCAGGCTAGTACTTTCCGAGGAAAAAATGGCTAGAGAACCTGTTGAGCGAGGACGACACTAAGTTAGCGTAGCCAGCTCGATTTTGTTCGGAGCGTTCCCTAAGGGTCCATGTGCCCAAATACTAGATACTTTGGCCTTGAAGTAGTCCCTAAAAGGGTACTTGGGGGCCAATGTATATACTAGATGAGTACATGGACCCTTCGGGCAGTTCGATTTTGTTCTGAGCGTTTGGAACAGGGCCGGCTTGAACCATCGGCACGACGACGAAAATGACGAATCCAGTTCCGGGGACGACATCCCCGCAGGAAGGGTGAACCCTAAGCCCCGAAGCCAATAGTTAATGTAGGGGCCGAAATAGTTGCCAATACCATTTTGGGGGTTCCTGATTATAGATATAAGATAATGGGCCCCAAAACCCTATTCTAATTATTAAGGCCCCTTTTTTAGCTTTGGGGTACTGGGCTGGGAGCCACGGAGAGGATTTGGAGCTCCCTGTCTCGGGTGTTTGGATCTCCACCAGCAGCATCTGGGCTTTTAAACAGGTATCGCATCTTTTGCTAGTATAATCCCAAACCCTGAATGATAAACCCTGAACCCTGAACCCTAAACCCTGAACCCTAAGCCCTATCCCCTAAACCTAAACTCTAGACATGTTTCAGCTTGTTGATGGCCTCCGACACGAACTCAGGTATTGTTCGCATCCAGCCCAGCTGTGGAGACTCTCAAGTTCAGAGATCACTGAAATCTGAGTCTGTAAACTCAACTGGCGCCGAGCTCATCTACAGCTTCGGCTTTGTCACGGAAGATCAACTTCCTCCTGGAACATACAGCCTATGTTGGTGTGAACCAGAATACAGTGCGATTCCAGCAATCACTTGCTCAAGCCCTGCAGATTTTGTGACCTTCATTTCAGAAGTTTATGTTCGCTGCCCAGCCGGGCAGTTCAGTGCCAATGATGGTCCCTGCACATCCTGCGCGATGTTCTGGGAAGAGCCCAACATTTTGCGAAACCAATGCTCGGCAGATGCACTAAACCTTGGCGCTGTTGTTGGCATCCTTACCTGTTGCTAGCTTGTTCAGTGGTGTGGTTTTGTCGCAGGGTTTAGGGTTTAGAGTTTAGGGATAGCTATCCCAAGAGCATATACTTTCCCATTGGGTTACTGAAAGCAGCCCAGGCTATTTCATCGGCTGGATCGTGCTATGGTATCAGGTGGGAATCCTTACTTCCAACGACAGCCAAGGCTGCAGATGCCTAGGTCTGTCAGGTCGCAAGGTGCGACGGGCAAGGGTTTAGGGTTTAGGGTTTAGGGTTTAGGGTTTAGGGTCTAGGGCAACGTGTCCCCTAAGGGTCCATGTACCCCACTTGTTTCTACTTTGGCCTTGAAGTAGTCCCTATATAGGTACTTTGGGGCCAATGTATATACTATATGAGCACATGGACTCTTAGGGATCATTTTCCAACGATAACATCAAAGCCTGAAGAATGAACCGCATTCCATAGCGTTCTTTATCGCCATTTGAGTCATTCGCTATGAAGAGCACCGAACCTCATGTTAACTGCCTTTTACAGTACCCTATAAGTTCATGTACCCATGTTGTCGGACCCAGTTGCAGGCGCGAGAATATACGTTTTGGATATATGGACCCTTAGGGTAGGTTGTAAGTTGTTTGACACATACGGATGTTGTAGAGACGGCGGCCGTTTTAAAGCTAGACTATTCGACGCATGAGAAGTGCAAGCTGATGTAGTGCAGCAGCCGTAAAACAGCCCTGTAGACCCTAAGTGTAAGGGTAGTCAGTGTAGAACTGCTCCCTACACCACAAACCCTCAACCCCTTAACCCTAAACCCCGAAACCCTAAGCCCCTAAATCCTACACCCCCAGGTGCATCTGGAGGATATCACCTCAAGCCTTTCCAAAAACGGTGACTCACTTGTGACTCGGCGCTGAAAAGTGCACCAGGTGCTCCTAAGGTGCAATATAGGGGCGTCAATAATTACCTACAGTATTTTTTTTTTTTGGTTTTTTTTTTTTGGGGGGGTCCTTGTTATAACTGCACTATAATGGGCCCCAAAACCCTATTCTAATTACTAAGGCCCCTTTATTATGGCCTGGCTTTAGAGTTTCATGGCTTGGGGCAATAGGGGTTATACGGTCTACTGCGCAAGAGGCAGACTTATAGTGACTTATGGAGGGTTGAGGGTTTAGGGTTTAGGGTTTAGGGGTTGAGTGCACGTCAGTTTGCAGATCGATTCCACCCCAAGACAAGCGCAGGGCTTAGTTGTTGTGTTTCGAGGCTTTGCGGTTTTCCAGGGGGTTTTAGGTGCTGTAGTAAGTCTCTTCAAGTCTTCAACTATTTCCCAAAGGGTCCAAGTTATAGTAGAGTATATACTTTTAGGGTCCAAATACCTACAAAGTAGCTACCATATTACCTAAACCCTAAACCCCTAAACCCTAAACCCTAAACCTCAACCCCAAACCCTAAACCCTAAACCCTAAACCCTAAACCCTACCATATCAATACTTGGACCATTTGAGTTTGCAGGGTTTTAGGATGCTCTAGGGTTTCAGGTTCTTTTAGCTGCTTTTTCAAGGCCACGATCACGACACGTGGACGCCATTGCCTGTCTGCTCGCTTCGGCGCCTTCCCTATCTACTTCTACCAAACAGGCGCGAGTTTTGGGCCTAGGCAATTTTGATGTTGACAGACATTTGTGCGTAAATTATGTCCGGAACTGTACAACAAAACCCTGAACCCTAAACCGAAAGCCCCAAGCCCTAGACCCTTAAGCAGCATAGCAGCCCTTTCATGCAGGTTTATGGGTTCAGCGTTTAGCAAGCTTCGGGACTACATTCCTGGATGTTGTGTAATCATAAGTTAGGTCCTAAGACACCAGACCCCCTTGAGCAATCCCTAAACTCTAAACCTCAAACTCCTAAACCCAAAACCCTTAACCCGAAGCCCTAAAGCCCAAACACTAAACCCTAAACATCAAACCCTAAACCCTAAGCCCCTACACCCTAAACGCTGTAAGCCCTAAACCCTGAACCCTACAACCCCTCAAATACTAAGCCCTCAACCCTAAACCCCTAAACCCCTAAACCCTAAACCTTATAAGCCTTAAACCCTGTACCCTGTTACCCCTAAACCCTAAACCCTGAACCCTATATAACCCCTCAGCCCTAAACCCTAAACCCTTACCTGGGTAGTTCTCTAAATTAGGGCCCCTCCTAGGGTCCCCAGTATAGCACAGCACTCTTTTTAAAAGGACCCCTACAAGGGACCCTAGTTTAGAGAAGCCCCGAATGGTGAACCCAAACCCTCAACCCCTAAACCCTAAACCCTATAAGCCTTAAACCTTGAACCTAATAACCCCTAAACCCTGAACCCTGAACCCTGAACCCTGAACCCTAAACCCTAAACCCTAAACTGACCCTAAACCCTAAACCCTACCCCCACAGCCTTACCTGCAGGACACTACATGCTTGACCGAAGACCCGAAGCTCGCAAGTTTCTGTACTCCGCGCGGCCGTCCGACTGAAACTTGGGTTCTGGGGTTTAGACTTTAGGGTTTCTGTTGTCCTTTAGGGGTTTTAAAGTTTAGGGTTTTGGGTTCATGGTCTAGGGTTTATAAAGTTTAGGGAGTTTAGGGTTTAGTTTAGAGTTTCGGACTTCCGTAGTCCTTTAATTGGCTTTTTTGGTTCTTCAGTGATGGGTTTAGGGTTTAGGGCTTATGGCTTTGAGGCGTCTGGAGTACGAGTGTGTGTGTGTGTGTATCCACTGTTTGGATATAGTTTCCTTTGAAGCTTTTCTCTTCGCCTACGTCAGAACGCGGGAAATGCATGCCATTGCATGTCCTAAGGCTCCATGTTTGTACCCTTCTTTATATGTTTCATACTTAGGCGTTAAGGTAGCTATATAGGAACCCCATTACGGCCCAAGTACATGGGCAGTTCTCTAAATTAGGGTCCCTTTTGGGTTCCCCAATGTAGTACGGCACCCTTATAAAAAGGACCCTAAAACGGACCCTAATTTAGACCACTAAACACATACTATATGGTCGCATGGAGGCACCAAGAGCCTTCTCCAGACGGCCCAGTTCTTGAACGTCGGAATATTTTTTTATCCCTAACTCCAGGCAAAGGACCCAATAATCAGGCACTCTGGTGGCGGGTAGTTGTTATCTAGGTTAATATTCGGGAGAGTATATGATTATTAAGTACTTGGACCCTTAGGGGAATAATTAATAATATTTAGAGGGGCCACGAATATACTACGATTTTTGAGTTAGGTCCGGGGGTCCATTATACTATAATGATAACAAGGAACCCGCCAAACCTTATTCTAATCAAAAAGGCCCCTCTATTGAGACTCTATTGTAACAATCCCGATTCAAGTGTGCAGATGCCGGCATCGGCATGGGGACGTGCGGAAACCTCCTTGTACAGCCACCCTCTTCCCATGTTTGAGAAATGTTGGTTGGTGTCCTGCTGTAGCATTCAAGGGTGTAGGGTTTAGGGTTTCGGGTTTAGGACGTGGATTGGGTTTACATAGGTTTAGGGTTTAGGGGTTAGGACGTGGTTTGGGCTTACATGATAACTCAAACCCGCCGTTAAGGAGCCAAGTCTGCGATGTTTTGGTGCTCGCTAAGGCCACTGGGACCTCGCCGATTGCAGCTCTTGGATGCAGCTGATCTGCACTTAGGCGTGGATGGTTTACGACCCTAAACTTTTTAGGGTTTAGGGTTTAGGGCCTAGCGTTTAGGGGCTTTAAACCCTACAAACCCAGAAGTATTCGTGAGGCAGGCATGAAGATCTTAGGAGACCGGGCGGGCGAAGCAAGACGGAATCGGGAGTTGGGCTTCGCTGCAACGCTTCAGGGTGCACGGTCATTCTGTCTCGGCTTAGGGTTTAGGGGTTTAGGGTATGGGGTTTAGGCTTTAGGGGCCTGCTTTGGGGCCTGGGGGTTAGAAGGCTCGAGTTTTAGGATTCAGGGTTGGTTTTCGTTCTTGCTTTCAGAAGTTTTCAGGACTTAGGCGTTCAGGGTCTAGGGCACCAAACGCTGACCAGCGGGATTGTTTTAAATGTGTTGAGGTTCAAACGGTTCAAACTTAAGCGTGTTTAAACATGTTTAGCCAGTGGGTGGATGTTTGTTTATTTGTTTAAACTCTGTCGTCACATTGAGATGGTTAAACCATGGTTTAAACATGTGAAAAACGGCGTTTGAACATGTGTAAACACACTTGTGTCAACACCCGCCTCAAGCACATTCGGAATGTGTGTTACCGGGAACAGCTTCCAACTTGCTTAGACACATTCAGCATGTGCAGCGCTCACGGAACTATTTAAGCATGGGTTTAAACACATTCGGGATGTGTGTCATGCAGGGAACTGTTCAAGCATGTGTTTAAACATGGGTGTAAACACATCCGGCATGTGCGGCAGTCCGGCAACTCTTCAACCATGTGTTTAGACATGGGTCTGATTTAAACACAGTCGGGGCACTCAGGGATGTGTGTCATGCAGGGAACTGTTCAAGCATGTGTTTAAACATGGGTGTAAACACATCCGGCATGTGCGGCAGTCAGGCAACTCTTAACCATGTGTTTAGACATGGGTCGGATTTAAACACAGTCGGGGCACTCAGGGAACTGTTTAACCATGTGTTTAAACATGGGTTTAAACATTCGCGATGTGTGTCATGCAGGGAACTGTTCAAACATATGGTCAAGCCTGGGTTTAATTACATTCGCCAAATGTGTAGGCCCGCCCCTAACCTCGCCCTAGGCGCGTAGGTCTACATAATCAGCCTCGCGTTTTTGGTTCAACCTGGTCTAGACATGTTTGAACATGGTTGATAAGAGGATTCTATGAATGCGTTTAAACACATATGTATAAACAATTCGCTTCATGTTTAGCTTAATTGGTTCAAACATGTCTAAACGGTTTAAACATGACTCGTCAG